TAGCTCACAGCAACCTCAAACTCCTGGGCTCAAGTGATCCTCCTGCCTCAGCCTCCCGAGTAGCTGGGACTACAGGCATGTGCCACTATGCCTGGCTAATTTTTTATCTTTTTAGTTGCCTGGCCAAATCTCTTTCTATTTATAGTAGAGACGGGGTTTCACTGTTGCTCAGACTGGTCTCAAACTCCTGAGCTCAAGCGATCCTCCCGCCTCCGCCTCCTAGGATGCTAGGATTATAGGTGTGAGCCACCGCGCCCCCTGGACTATATTGTTTCAAAGGACTTTCCAGGTTTAAAAGTCTTTGCTTTCAAACCTTAAATATTTCAAACCTAAATATTTCCTTTGACAAATATGACTAATATTTATTGAGTGATTTATCATGTACCAGATACTGACCTAGGCTCTGAGTACATGGTAGTGAACAAAACAGACCAAGGCCTCCCCAAGAGCTCACATTCCCATGGTGGAGGTGGGGTGGGGGAGATGGAATCGGACAAAAAACAATTAAACGGGTAAACATATAATACATCAATTAGTGATAAGTACAATGGAGAAAAATAAAGCAGGAAAAGGGGATTAGGAGTACGGTAGGGGAGTAGGTTATACTGAATGGTCAGGGAGACCTTATGGATAAGGAGACATTTGAGTAAAGACCTCAAGGACATAATGAAGCATGCATGATGTGGATATCTCTAAGAACATTCCAGAAACAGAAAACAATATAGGCTCTGGGCAGAAGTATAATTAGTGTCTTCAAGGAAGAGGAAAAGTGACCAAGAGTAAGGAAGGAAAAGCAGTAGGAGCTGAAGTCAGAGTGAGAGTGAGGAGCAAGATCATGTAGTGTCTTATAGAACATTGCAAAGGCTTTAGCTGTTACTCTGAGTACAGAGGGAAACTATTATATGGTTTTGAGCAAAGAAGTAGAAAATATAACACACGTATTAAAAAGACCACAATGGCTGTTGTGGTGAGAACAGACTGTAGGATGGCAAGGGGAGACCAGTCAGGAGGCTACTGAAGTAATCCAAGTGAAAGATAACGGTGGGTTGGATCAGGGAGGTAGGAGTAGAGTCCTGAGAAGCAGTCAGATTGCTGGATGTATTTGAACGTAGAAGCAGGATTTACTGAGGTTTTGTATATTTGAGAAGCCTCTGTCTAGGGTCTGGAGGCTGAAGGGTGCATGAGGCTCCTCAGCCTCCTTAGAATTTATGGAAACTATCCAACAAAGGAAGCCGCTAAATACCGAATGCAAGTAGAATTTTGTACAATGATGCTGTGTCTCGGGAAAATGAAGCCTCTTCAAGGACACTCACCAAATCCTCGAGGAGACCAGTGGTCATGTTTCTAACCTTCTGGGGATGGCTTCTCTGAGAAGGTCGCATCCTTCTGGTAACTACACTGGGAGAACAGCACTGCAGGAAGAGTCGGCAATCTCCACTAAGACTCGTCTGAAATTTGACTTCCTGGGAACTTGTGTTGCAAAACATAGTGAATGTTTTAGGAAAGAAGGAAACCCTACACTTCACCCTATGCTTCAAATCCCCATCTCTCCTCCTCTCCATATTCTATCTATTATCACCTTCCCAAGATTCTTATCAATGAAACAGACCCCAGATGCTTCAGTCTACACTCAACCAATACAGGCTTGAAAAGGTAAACAGAAATGTTGTTATAACATTTTATTATAAAAGTAATACATGATCTTTATAGAAAAAGAAAGAGAATAAAAATCGCTGATAATTTCATCACCCTGAAATAATCACTTCTAACGTATTGGTATAGATTAGTCTAACATCTCAAATCAAATATACTTAACATAATTGTTTTCTTCATCTGCACTGAAATCTAAAGAAAAAATTTCTTTAAAAAACATAATTGTTCTCATAGAACCTGTAACAAGCATTTTCCATGTTACAATCTCCTATTAGCAGTAATTTTGCTAATTTTATTGGCTGTGTGAATGTAGAACAGAAGTCTAGATGTCTTCCTTGCACAGAAGGTGCAGTCAGTCATCCAAGACCACGTTGTCTGTGGCTTCAGGACAGGGAGCTTCAGGCAGGACTCATGTAGATTACTCTGGAAGAGTCCTTCTTTGGAACGGCAACATCCTCTGGTCCTCTCCTCTCTGATTCTCTTCCCAAATCCCACGGCAAGACAATGGAGACTAAATGAGGTTCTTGTATTTGTGCTGTTTCTTTCTCTGGAGCTTTGTGGTGCATGAGAAGTGAATAGGTGGTTGTATTCTACACTGAGAGAAAGCAGAAGCAAGCAGTGGAGATCCATTGGGTGGGCAAATGGCATAACGTTAATGGTATAACGTTATCACTGTTGACTTTGTCATTAAGGAAGAGTCAAGTAGATGTTGCTATCACCATCAGTGGGTGCATTGTGCTTCAGAGTCATGTAGCCACCATCAGTAATTTCATAATCATTGCTGGTTTCCTCAGGTTGCCTGATCCTGATGTCACTCATTTGACTTACAAGTGGCTGCTGGCAAGGATTAAAAGAGAGTTATTGTATTTATCTCCCTGGTGCGTTGTATTCATTCTCTTAAGAGAATATTCTCTATAAGAAGAAGAATAGCCAAGGATTGAAAAATTCCTTTGAGCAAAGATTCTCAGGAGCCAAGATTTCACCAACTGAATAAATTAATGGAGAAGGCAGTGCTTATCTGATGAAAAACTAATGTTTGTTCTTTAAAATCTTAAATTTGGGACAATAATTTTTATTTTATTAACAGATAAAAAACTTTTTTATCAATGTTAAACCGAAATGGAGATCATTGTTTTGGACTAAGCTCCTGTACTAGGCCCCAACAAATCAGACTAAAAATCAAAATAGAGTCACCGATACTAACGGTCCAAGTCACCAAAACTAAACTAAGTTGTTATCTGGCCTTTGGAGAAATCACAAGAGAAAGAGATAACAGCCTCATTTCCCAGAAAGACCAGTTTCAATCAGCATGGGAATTAAGTTTCCTCTGCTATAATCCTTACAAAAAAGTAACCTG